CCAAATTAAAAAAAAAGTCTCTAAGCCTAGTCTCTAAAACCATGACCTGCCCATTTTTATTTTTATTTCACAACAAAAAAATACTCACAGGTGAGATCTTTCGAGTAATGGGGTGGTACAAGGGAGTCTTGCTTCAAGAACTGACATGCTATCTTGTAGACAGAGAAGCAATTTTTCTCCCTAGTATTTAGTAACTGCTAAACCAATGCCTAGAGTTTATGGATAGTCCTCGCTTCTTGCTGTCTAGATCAGTGCAGTTTTTAACAAAGCTCAAAAAGGTCACTTGTTTTATTTCCCCTTCTCAGCCTCCCTTTTCTCTGTTTTAACACAGAAATGCACCAATGTGCCACCTATGTGTTCAGCCACAGCCATTCTGAGCACTCAAGTCACACCAGCGGCGAGGTAGCTGGAGTGCTACAGCTAGCTGTTCTCTGCTTTCTGCCAAGGATGCTTGGCTATGATGTTTTCTGGTACTTTGCAGTAAATAGAAACTAATCTTTAGTTCATCCCAGGGCTGAGTCCCTACAAGGATTCCAGGCACTTCTTAAATAATCACAACGGGACATAAATTGGGACTTCAAGAGATACATGTGCTCTTTGCACAGGGGTGAATTTCCAGTAATCCAAAAGGGGATGGGGAAATTGCTATCAGAAACAGCAGGCGCCACAATTGTTGGCTGGGAAGATACACCAGACAACAGAAGTCCAATTGCCAGAAAGTATTTATACTCCTGCAGCTCACAGCTGAGGACTTGATCCTGACCTTTGATATACAAAACAGATTTGCTCTGCAGCTGGAAACTCAGTTGCAGCATTTGTGCTCGGAGGGTAAGATTGCGCCTAGAGCTGATGAAGGTGGGACCTGAGTCATCAGTTCTGAAGTAAGGCAGCAATCTTCTGACCAAAATCACTTCCATCCAATAATGCTGCATGGACTTAGAAGGGCAGTGATTTTTGGAAAAAAAAAAAAAAAAAAAAAACCAAAACAAAACCAAAAAACAACAGAGGACAGAACTATACCCCATACAGTAATAAGAAACATCAGATGGGCTTTTCATCTGGTTTAAAGACTGACACTAAGAAAACCCTTTCTTCTCCCAGCTCTTCTCACTTGTCTCTGGTTTAGAGTATTATTTCACTCTACTTTTTAGACCTTATTTTATTGAAGGCAATCTTAGCCCCAAGAGCAGAACAAGTAAAATAAAAGCAATTAAAGCCTGGAAGGAATCTGTATTTTTTCTTTGAAGCAGAGCCCCATGTCAGACAGCTTTCCACGTACCTTGCTCAGTGTAGGTTACATTATGGCATCCCATCAGGCCCATTCAAACCAGGTTGCAGACGTATTGTGGCTAGGATCCAACACTGCCTTCCTGCCTGCAGTAGCTGTTGGTGGTGATTTCATCTCAATCATTTTCTCTCTTTCCACCTCTCATGCAGCTGCCTGCCTGTCTTGATAGGACCAAAGTGTAGCTCATGGAATCTATATGATAATCACAAAAATAGTTATTTCTGCTGAAAAATGGATTTAATTCCCCCTCTAAACCTTTGTGGATTGCCAACTGGGGGTGTGAAACCAGCTGGCAAAAGATGCGTTCATTTCAATTTCATGACTTTCATATACTGCAGCTTCCTGACTTTAAATGGTTCCTCCTCTCTCTAATGAGAGCACCAAGGCCTTGATTAACAGCCCTCACTTTAAACCAAGTTTTGAAGAAGGTTCTTTTCATGGTAACTTCTCTGGGTATTTCTGACAGCCTGTTCAATCCAGGGCAGCCGAATGCCTCCTCTTTCACAGCATGAGCATTTGTCAGAGAAACTAGGAGTCAGGCTTGGTGAAGATTTGTATCCCTGCGTACTCTGCAAGTAACTTGCACAACAGCGTGGGAAGGAAGCTTGAAAGTAGTGCTGGTAAAACAGTGAAAAACTAATTTCATCAATGTTTTCAAAATGTAAAGGCTTGGAATGAACTCTGGTTTACTTTTTTAACTCTTTCAACTCTTTTCTTATAAAATACGTTTTTATTTACAGGATACCTTGTCTTCAGTACATTGTTTTCTAATTTTTTTTTAGTCCAAAGAAGATTTTATGGAGATGAGTAGGCAACATGGGAGAAAAGCCTAATACGTTTTTTGTCAGTTAATTTCAGAGAAGGGTAAGGCTATCTCATGGGAAAGAGTCCTTCAAGTCGTCAGATAGAGCCATCTGGGTCAGAGCATTCAAATGGTTGAATAGTGATTTAGGATGTAAATATTGAAATCAAAAGTATTATCCATGTAAAAGTACCATTTGCTTGCAGACTCTGGCTTTTCAAACTCTTCCAGCTGCCCACTTAGTCAGTGGAAGTCTCTAATAGACAGTAGACGAGGGCCTTAATCATAATTGAGTCCTTGAATCTGGACTTACGGAGATTTTAAACGAGATCTATGAGCAAGCTTGCTTAAAAAGGACTGCAGTATATGTTATCCCTGGTCACGGGCCAAGATGCTCCCACTTTGTGACCTTGCCTCCTTTTCACTGATCTCCCCTGGGAGATGGGAGAACAGCAAGGCCCTTTCAGTGCAAGACTGCTGACAGTACTTGAAGTTATGTCTAAATTGCTGTCCTGTGGTGGCTGCTGTGTAGCAGAGGCTAGTACGTACCCCAACATAGACTTAAAAACTGTCTGAGAACCAACAGTAGTTGTGTCAACACAGAGCTCAGCAATCCTACATGAAAAGGTATGGCTAATTAACGTGTGCCGAGTACTATGTTGCCATAACTTGACTGCTACCAGCATTAAAACTAATTTAAACCTTTCTGGATGTTTCTGTACCAGACTGCTGCTACTGTGTTAGCCACATGCAGGAAAACTAGTACACTGCTGCTAACTTGACAACCCCATAGGGCATGACTGAGCTAGGATTAGACCAGAGTTTTTGATAACATTTAAAGGAAGTTTTGCTTTGGTTATGCTTATTTATAGGTTTGGTATTGGCAGTCAGAGAGTTTCATTTATATTCAGGCAAAGCATGAAAGGAAATACTGGGACTTGGGGTGTGGTGGAGGGAAAATGGAGAGAGGGGGAAAAACAACATAAAAAAAAGCTCTCATGAAGTTGACAGCATCACCAGACTACCAAAGCAAGCAAAATAGAGTCAAAAGTTCCAGGCACAGAAGTCAGAAGCCACAGCTCTCTTCCAGGGAAGGAATACACTGCATCTCATTTCTGTTGCAACTACTGATACTATCTACAGAAAATCCATCACCAGTTGAAAGAGGGCTGTATTCGTTGTCAATGCATTCCACCACTTTGGTGCCCCAACTTTCATGAGCTTATTAGATGCACACTCATGGAGTTCTCTGTGAAACAGAAAGACAATATAAGCTCCTTTATTGTTGCCTTATAGAACCATTAGGAACTCTGTTCCTTTAATATTAATTTCCTTCCTTTTATTGCTTCAGCTGTCAACAACTATGATAAATTTACCTTAAAGCAAACTGTGGCATATATCTCTATATATACACTCCCACCCCCCCACACACGTATATATACAGCCATGCACACATATACATACTTACATATATATACATACACACACACAAAGCCCAACAGTGAATAGGAGAATTTACTGAAAAGCCAGGAAAAAACTAGTATATTCAGAAACAGGAGAAAACTAACAATTTATTATAAAGTATTACAGCTTAGATATTAGATATTTTTCACATTTCTTTCTCATAATTCTGTTTCTATTATTATGATGTTTTCTTCTTGCATACCTATCCTTCAGGAGGATAGCCTTCTGAAAGATCTCATTTGACTGGGATACTCACACAAAATAATCTGACTAGTTTGTATAGAGCGAAAGAATAACTTTGGAAACAAGTGACTGAAAAGAGCAAGGCTAAAGTAAATCTTGGATTACAGCACCATCAGTGAAGAGTAGGAACAGCTATGGAGCCTTTGTCTTTGAACAGAAGCTGAAAAGGACAAATAGGTTCAAGCTGACAGTGCCAGAATAGCAACTCAGTAAAGTCATTGTACACATCCCCACCAACTCCATGGATGTTTGGTCCAACATTAGGACTTGCTCCTGTGTTATAGTTTCTGATCGTGTGATACCTCCATACATACATATTTGCTTCTAATAGCAATATGGATGCAAACTTCACTTTAAGGGAGGGGGTAGGACTGGAAGAGCAGAGCATGCTTGAGACCTGACTTAACAGGACTCCATCAGAGTTGATGTCAGCCCTTCCATCCCCAAGACTTAAGAAAACGGTAGGTCTCTGATCATCTTAAAAGATTCTTCTGTCTTAATTTTAATTTTGAAACATTTACAAGAGTCCTAACAATACATTCTCATTTTCACCTAGTCAGTGCAAAGCACAAAGAATAGAAAATAAAGAAAATCACCTGGAAGTAATTGCTGTACCTCATAAAAAGAGCACAGTATTATTAGTCACATTAAAGACAATAAAAGCAAGACTCTTCATCCAGAGAACCTGTGAAGTCACTGCTTGTGAAACATCTTTCAATCCTTGTCCTCCGACAAAAATGATGGGAAGCGAAGCTGCTGTGATTCTTCACTGAATGAAGAGCTTTCAGCCATTATACAACACAGAGCTCCACAAATGGACTTTGCTACCATCAGGGATGGTGTGAGGTCCATGTCAGGATCAGTACTAGAGATCTTACGTTGTAGTATGCCCTTGGTTCACTGTTAGTCTCAAGCTCCAGACCCAAGGCTGTACACACTGTTTCTCTTAACACTTCATTATGTACAAGAGACAACTGTTATATAAACCAATAAAGATGTACATATCCCAACCCAGAAGACAAGAAAGACATGCAAGTCCCACTTGTAATTTGGATCGAAACATTAGCCAATGTGGCAGGCATCCCAGGATCATAACTTATAAAATGAGCATTTCAGAGCTTTCACCAAAAAAAAAAAAAAAAAAAAAAAAAAAAAGAAAGAAAAAAAAGAAAGAAAAAAGGAAATTAAATACTACCCTGACATCTTGAAAGGAAGCAGTCACCTCTCTAGAACTTCTTCCTTAATTCAGCAGGGCTCCTTGCCTTGTTTGGATAGCAAATGCAGTTTCATAGGTCCATGTGTGCTCAGACATCTGTAACACAACACAGTTTATTCCATAACGAAATGATATTTTACTTTCCCTGACTAGTCAGGGGACAACTCAGGTTGATACCACTCACCCTTTGTGTCTTGCAAGACAGTTCTAATGTAACAATAGAGGGAACGTATAATGGTGGGAAAGGAGGAATGAGGGGAAAGGAGGGAACTGATTTTAAACTTACATAGGTCCCTTCCACAGCCTTTTCAAAGATCTCACTGAATGGAATTTTGTTCATGTGTTGGTGAAACTGGACCTGAAATCTGCTCTGTCTCCCCCCAAAAATCAATGTCATTTGTATCGAGGATGGGCTTGTTTTGGTTGCTCTGTCCTAAGCAGAACACCATAAAAATGATATGACATAGGATCCTCCTCAGAAACATCATTTTGTGTCAGAGGATCTCAGAGTCTAAACATTTCCTATCAGATACTTTATTCTCAGAGGACCCTGGCTTTCTGCAAGAATCCTTTGTAGTCCAGCTGGATGTCATTACATAATTAAGCATATGAGCCAGGAGGTGGTCTTGAGCATGGCAATTTTACAATGTAAGATCAAATTGTTATTCTTCCTTTCAAAAGACCTAGTGCCATTTGTTTTAATACCTTCATGCAAGGGATCAAATATAGTATTGATTATTCATTATTACCTTTAAAGAGGTCACTAAGCTTCTAGAATTCAGAAGACTTCTGGGGATCTGAAGGGATATAAGGCCTCAGGGCTTCATGACTCATTCTGACCTGAAGCTTTGAAATATCACCTGTTGTCTGGATTGTTCCTGCTTGCTGCCTGGGATTTCAAAGTCTCTCTCTCCCTCTTCTTTTCCCCGAAGGCATCAGTCTTACAGACATTGACAGATCAAGAGAAGCAAAGAATGCAAAGGAAAGTGAAAGTCAGAAGACCATGAGTTGGGAGCCCAGCTGGTATACATCTGCTTTGCTAAGCTTGAATTGAAAATGAGTATCATTATTCCTGTTTTGCATGCATCCTACCATGTTTAGTTATTGCATCATGTAGAGGAGGCAATAGGCACATCCTGTGCTCCATCCTAGCTCCATTGTGTTCAACATGGGTTACCTAACTGTTCAGTACCCTAATACAGGAAGTTTTTCAACCTTTCTGTGCCAATTTGATCTCCAGGCATGTTCAAATGGAGGAACTTTTAGAGGAGATTGGGGGTGTCACTATGTGGATACCCTGACAAAATTTAACATACTATCTTTATCGACTTAAGAAAAAAATTAATGTCATATTCATCTATGCACTGCATTAAAAGTTTCCATTTTCAACAACATTGCCTGTATGTTGTAGAATAAACCTCCAAGAGTGCTTTTTGGCAGATGGTTAAATATTTAAGTAGTTGGCCACAGATTTTTTAAAATTGAGATAATTAGAAGACTTGAAGCAGTTAATATTTATTAGTCACGAAGAGTTTGACAGATTGGATGTTTTCCTACCCACACATTCTTTAACAGAAAAAAAAATAAAGCCCTTATTCTTTCATTGTATAAGAAGCAAGCTTTTATATGAGGCAGAAGTAGAAGGCATGGCCTTCCCAAGTTTCTCAGTATGAGACACTGAGATTAGTGGCTACCACTTAATCCAAGAACAGGCCAGAAAACAACATGGAAATGATGAGGTCTCTGTGGAAATGCAGAGTTCACCCTGGAAAGTTCCCACAACTGAAACCTGAGGACTGACTCTTCTGCACCACTTCAGCTTTTGCTATAAATTATGGTGTCTCTAGCAAGGTTGCAGGGCTACTCCAGTCATGGGGAATTATGAAACAACCCATTTTCTATTAGCTTTTCCCTTTCTCTTGGTCTTCCTTGCAGGAGAGGAGATACATGGAGCAAAGGCAGACCAGTTCTTTGGCACATCAGAACCATACAGAAGAAGACACCTTCAATAGTGAATTAAACTGGCAGACAGGAGGCCAAGAACTGTCAGATAACTAAGGCTACTCTAGGAGCCAGTTTCACCAGACGTGTCCTCTTTTATCTGTCCAGAAATCTGACTGAAAAGAAGCACTGGGACATTTGCCTAGGCTTGCTGGCTGCCCCATAGACAGGTCTGAGCAAGACCAGTAACACACTTCTCACTAGGCTGCAGATGTCCAGCTGCACTGACCACACCAAGGAGTCCAGCTCAGCACTTCCCGTGCCAAGTCAGGGCCATCCAACTGCACGGAGACAGCAGCCAGCCCACACAGACAACAGGTTGGATGAGCTCAGGATGGATGCACAAGCACCTGCACGGCACATACATGGTAGGTCTAATGTGTTACCTGTCTGTCAGGTGGTTAATACATGCAAATATTCAAACAGTATCTGTGTGCAAAGTCCATGCAATGGACATACGCGTTTCTAACGTACAATAGAGCAGCCAATTGAAAATGTTCCCTTCTTTTGTAAGATTGATACTGACTTTGCCAATGATTCATGAAAAACATGAAAGTAGCGTCAGTGTTAAACTACGTAGCTGACTGGCTAGAAAGAGATGCCTATCCATTCTATCTTACCTCTCTTCTTAAAAGCACTACTGAATGGTCAGTATGTGCCTCAGTATGAGATCCTTTGTGCTCCTTTACATTCAAAGGCAAATAGAAAGTAAGATAAAACTAAACAAGGCATCTTAATAATGGCATTTGCACGTATCCACATGCAGTTATTAAAAAGAACGGGTGCATAGAATTAACTGTGGCAGGCAGGGAGCTGAGGAGAAATCATTTTCATCAGCGTCTACACAGCGAGGCCAAGGGCAGACAGCAATACATAATATGCCTGCTATAGCTCTTCCCTAGTACAAACCAACAGGGCAGGACCAAGTACCCTGGCAGGCTGGACGCAGTCCTGATCTGGAGTCACCCAGCACTGCCCTCAAGGGACCCCAGGGAGGGATTGGAAGGCAGCCCTGGATACCGACCTGTGATGATGCCAGCTTGCTCTCGAAGGGGATGACACCTGGAGCAGAGCAATCCCCTGGCTACACCCTCCCTCACTGTGGTCAGAAGAGATGAACTGCTGAAACCACTGAGGGGATTTTTCTTTATCCTGCAAAAATCTTTAAGGGCCATCCCTGTTGTGTACAAAAGCATAGGATATTTCTTCAGCTTTTTTTCCTTTATTAATATTATTTTTGAGATATTATTCCCAGTGCCTTCTTTTCAGACAATAGCAATTCGTGCTTTATTTATCTCATTAGTATAGTGAGACTCTGGAGGACTGCAAAACTGGCAGGGTTATGAGATACAATTAAAGCAAAACCTATTTTAAATGAATAAAAGCTCACAAGTTTCATGCTTTCATAGGCTTTCTTTGATTGCTAAAAAGCACATTGGAGAAGGTCCGTTAAAGTTTCAGTATTCTTCCTTTCAAGGAGGGAACCACAGTCCTCAGCCCTAAGAGCTCCAGCAAGACTCATTGCAAATCAGAAGACAAGACAAGAATAGAACCTAGCAATAAAAAAGAAGCCACAACCTTTTAAAAAAACAAATATCACAGTATTCCTTTACGCACCATAAAGAAACAAAACGGAAACAAACCCACATTGTTTCCTCTTCAAGTACCCAGAAGAAAAATCTGCACCTTAAAAAGGTTTGACCTCAATATAGGCCATAATGTACAAATGTGAGGATCTTGGAAACTTGTGCTTTTCCTGGACTGAGGCCCAGATTTTGTAATATATCTTGCCTGTTACTATTTTTCTTGCTTATTCCAAAGTAGAAAAGGCTCTTTTGAAGAAACGTGTTTTCTAGGCACTTTGATATGCCAGAGTTGGGGTCTGTTTAAATAATTCAAGTTTGATATATACACATCTAGTTGTAACATTTTCTGGAAATGAGCCAACATTGCTTGTCTGGATCCAGTTCTTACTATCAATATGTTGTGAGACACTAGACAGAGTGGTCTCTACCCTAACACGTACAGTATACACTAGGCCAAACAGATAATAGTAAAACAGACAACTTGCTGTGCCTTTATCCTCTTCTCCACAGTTTTAATGAGCAGCACCTGAAAGAATTATGCCCATATTGAAAACTTATGTCCAAGTGAAAAGAGGACTGATAGCACACACTGGTAGCGCATCACATCTGCTTGGAAAAGGAACTTTTTATTTTTTTTCCTTACTTGACAGAAGGAAATCTGTGGACAGTTTGATTCAGTGACGGACTATCAATGTGATGAATATTTGATATGAACTTTCAGAGCCCATTTTCCCAGGCTGGACAAAATGTGCTTTTGCACACCAGTCTGCTCTTCTGTTCCCGACGCTCTCCAGGCTGATATGAAACTGTGGCTACAAACCATTAAGCCTACCGAGAGCAGTGTATGGACCATCACATACATCTCTCTGCTTACTCTTTTTGGTATCTAGAGAATATATATGCAAGTGCTATCCTGTATGCTATCTCATACCAGTTGACTGAGGACATCAGAGCTGCTGAGAGACAGAATCTGGTTAATATTTTTCCTCTAGACACAGCTTTAGAACCAGCTAGGAGGGGACCAGCCATACAATAATTCATGTTTACTAGCCCCATTAAAATTAATTCCTGCCCTATCTTATCACACAGTCGTCCATGGGAGAAAGTTTTACCTACTGGAACATGCATAAGTCACTCTAAATTTTGTGGCTGCAAACCGAAAGCAATTCCTTCCCCACCTTCCAGTGTTTGCTCAGGTGCAGTTTGGTTTCCACGTGAACTGATTCAGGAGAACCTGCCTCAACCAGCAAGCTAGCCAGAAGTCACCAACCAGCTTGCACTTACTGCAAACAAAGTCCTCATCCTGAAAGAGTCTGTTACGTAAAAGTACACTACATAAAACCATCTTTGAATTTGTGACTTACTGTAAGTCCTTAGGTGATTTGCCTTTAAGGATGACTACATTTTTAATCAATCAACAAGACGTGCAGTATGTAAAGTTCATGCTAGCTTGAGCGGCAGTGGACTGTGTTTTTTCCTCTGGCGAAGAGCCCTCGTGTAGCCTGTGAG